TGTAACTAAAGAGCACTGTTGAAATATTATTCTAAAATTCAACATTTGCTTCTCCTTTTCTATTTCTAAAGGAGCTATTGAAAATAGCTGAAGTTTTGAAATAATGATTGACACTAGATGATAAAGAACACTAGATGGAAGGAGATTTGTGGTCATGTAACTATTTCCATTATGTTTTCCAATAATTATTGCAAAAGCCCAGATATCTTACAGCTTTATTCTTTCATTAGCAGAAACTTATTTTCCTTTCTTTGCTTATATACTCTAGTCTAGGCTATTGCTGCTTCTAAGCAAACTGTTTAAATGAGTTATGTGTATATTCTCCATAACCTTTAACCTATAACTCAGTGTTTCCCAACCTGAGGGTCATGACCCCCAAGGGATTTGCAGTGTGTTTTTGAAGTGTCCTGGGTCACCTTATATGTATTGCAGTCCTTGTTAAATAATTTCTTCCTTGATCTTTTGGAGTTGGATATTAAAGTTATGAAAAACAAGCCCTTCGGGAGAGAAATAAGTCTCTACTTTCTGAGTATGGATCATCAGGACTATTTTTCAGAAAAAATAAATGACAACATAAAGATATAATTGATGCCGCTTCTGCAAGAAAGTGGAATTATGATTAAAAGTGTTAAAAATGAGATAGACAAACGTAAATCTGTCCATCTTCATGTTCGTTCAGTCTGTGGTTTTGTAACAGCCTCATCACAGGTGTTGTCATTTCTGAAAGCATAATACCTGTATATACTTAAAATTTTTTGCCAGGTATGGCTGATTGGTTTGCAGTGACCTCTAATATTCAGTACATTGTTCTTATAAAATGTATTACAAACCTATATTTTCAGATCACAACATTTTCTGTAACTGATATGATCCTTAATTATTTCAACCCTTCATCTATATCAAATAGGAAATTTTGACAGGTAAAAGCTGTTTGTAAACATTGTTATAGTGAATGCAGTTTTATATGACAGAATGATTAATTTTTCAATGGTTTAAAATGCTTATATGTGAAGTTGTATCCAGTTAATGTTACTTCTCGCATATGCTTCTAAATTTGTGTTATAGTACTTTGTTTGCAATAAGCTGTAATCTTAAATTATAAAACTTGGTTGCCATTTTCAAAGTTTGTGGATGTCCAGATCCATGACAGTTTGTCATTAACAAATCTGCAAGTCTTTTGTATAATCTAGAATTACAGTTGAAAGTGGAGAGAGTTGGAATTGTAGGAAAGTTTTGGTTCTCCAGAGATAACGTACATCTTTCTCCGTCCCATCTGCCTTTGTGACATAAAGCTAAATTATAAAATGCTTTGTGTCATCTGTAGCTAACTTGTAAGTCTTGTTTGAGTGGCAGAGCAAGAAATACTGTATTGGAAGAGCAAGAAATATTGGAAGTTTTACATTTAGTTCAAGTCAGATTGCAATTAGCAAAATACACTTTTCCTCTGACCTCTCAATAGAACATTACTGGGTTGGCTCCAAGGGTTTGTCCCGTGAATAGAACAATTAGTTTTGAAAGGAATCCCTTCCGAGAGCAAAACTATTCTTGTGGGAACCAAGTTTAGGAATTCAAATGTAGTTTGGCGAACAAGTGATATCTTCTAAAACGCAAAATTGTTTGTAATTAGAACTTCCCCCCCCAAAAAGCAATTATACACATTTTCTTTGATTTTTGCTTGTTTTAATATACCGATGTTTAATAAGGATACCCCTTAAAAGATATAGATATCCCTTGAGCTACACTTACTTATATTTTTAACTTATAAAGTAAGGTGGACTGGTGATCACTGCGCACAAAAGATCAGCTAACAAAACCCATCAGTCACAGTGACAAATAATCTCTCCCCCTTATCACAACAATACACCCACAACAAAAAAACATGCTGATCACCATAATCACCCATCTCCTGAAAAGGACAAAAGCTGATCCCACAGCTATAAATACTCAATCATCCAACAAACTGCACCAGAGCACAGACAGAGTTCTGATTCCTGTCGTCTGAAGATGCCGGCCACAAAGACTGGCAAAATGTTAGGAAGAACAACAACCAGAACACGGCCAAACAGTCCCAAAAACCTACAACAACCATTGGATCCTGTGAAAGCCTTCGAGAATACATTTTACCTTATAACTTTACTTTGAGAATAATGATAGTGATAGCAAGTTTAAGTATTGCTATTTTTGGAATATCTAAGGACTTTTCCTCATATTTTGCTAACACCCTCCCTTTTTCATTTTCTTTGCCATGTGTTCTATTATTTATGCATGGAAGTGGAAATAACCCATTAAAAATTAATGCATATAGACATTCGATTAGAACGATGCCATTGTTGCTAACACACGTTTTTAAAAATCTCTTTAAAAGAGCCTTTTAAAAAGGGTGTTTAAGTGATTCTTTTAGTTTTCCTCCTGACCCTGAAGTTCTGCTCCTTGAACCAGAAATCCTCTGTGTACTCAAAAGAAAGGAGAGGCAAGGGCAGACTTAAAACATTTTGTTGCATCAAGTAGATCAATAAATGATGCTCCTCACCTATCCAACTTAAGAAGCATCATACCTAAGATCAATCAAGTCATTTTGGCACCTGAAGCAGAGAATTCCACAAGCATTTTCCTCCTCTTTGGCAGTAACAATATAACACTTATAAATTAAATAACAATGTACCCTTCTTTCATGATACCTAAAATTGGTTGCCAGAAGCAACCCCCTCACTTTTCCTGATGACAGGAACAGACCTAAGGAAATATATATCTGTTTTAATACTTATTTAACGAATGTTTCTAAAATAAGAAGTCACAGGTCACGTGAAAGGTTTACTGCTTCTTCTAGAGACCTAGGAGATGCAACTTTGGATTCAGACTCAGAAGGTGATCAGACTGGCATATAGCACACTGTTTGATTTGCTTTTGATGTGGTTTAGTTTGACCTGTTTTCTGGCAACCACATGTATTTTCAGTGGGAACAATCCATCCTGCCCTTTTTTCAAGCTGTCTCACTGTTTTCTGGAACACTGCTAGAGCTGCAGTTTATTTAGTTCATTTGGGAGTGCTCTTGATTCTCTTGTTATGCAGCCTGTGTAGTTGTTTAATTTGCACCCAAATAGAGTCGTGGGCAGTGTTATCTGAGGTGACAACCCTGTTCATTGGGTTGTACAATTAAAAGAAACAATTGCAAATTCTCCTCCTCTACAGTATTTTATTATTATATTTTTAATATTTCCCTAACAAACACTATACAATTCTAATATATTGCAGATGTTTTTCAGTACAATATAATATATATACCATGCTAGGCCACTGCATTGCTGCAGTGCTATATCACTTTCTTTATTTAACAAAAAGGGAGAGGAAGTCACTGTGGTCTGCAGAATGATAGGGACACAGGTTGGGACATTAGTAATAGAAAGGGAAACAAAGTGGAGTAATCTGAAGAGCTGTCTGAATCCTTTTCACAGGAGTGTCCCATGTGAATGAAACGATCACTGAAGTATGAGATAAAATGGCACCAAAGTTAGAACCTTTTAAACATGAATGGAATTGCTCCAACTTCCTCTGTCTTGTCATGCCCTAAGTTGTAGTTAGATCCCACTGCAATCAGTTGGACATATGGGTTTCAATTAGAACCACAAGCAACAAAAAGCACAGTCTTAAGCATCGCTACGCAACAGCAAATCCTGCTAAAATTTGAGCTAAACATTATGTAGTGCACAATAGCCATCTACCATAGAATCAAAAAGGTAATTATGCTGAAAATTACATTAGTAGTCTAGATTATCAGTGTTCACAAACTGGTAGAAATAGATTTGTAGGATTTATAGACTTGTTAGATTAGAAGATGAATTCTGGTTACTTTCCAGAATGTTCGTATGTATTGTAGTAGAGCTTCCAAGTTGTATTATGTGGACATTTGGACTGTAAACTAGGATTAATTACAGTGGTACCTCAATTTACAAACTTAATCCGTAATGGGATGGCGTTTGTACCTTGAAAAGTTCGTAAGTTGAGGCAAACTTTTCCATAGGAGTGCATTGAAACCTGCTGTTTTTCGTTCGTATGTCGAAGCGCTGTTCATAGGTAGAGGCATTCGTTCCCATAGGAATGAATGCAAAGCCGGTTAATCCGTACTCTACCACTAGGGGGTGAATTTTTAAATTTTTTTCTTCTTTTGACCTAAGATGAACTTAGGTCAAAAAGGACAGGAAAGGTTTTTTCTCGGGTTTTTTGGTTCATAAATCGAGGTGCCGTTCACAGGTCGAAGCAACTTTTTGCGAATGGAGCCGTTCGTAACTCAGATCGTTCTCAAGTAGGGACGTTCGTAAGTCGAGGTACCACTGTATTAGGAGCATGAAGAAACAATTTTATACATGATGTGGGAAAAATAAAATGGATACTTTTAGAAGTATATGTTCCATGTCTATATGAAGTAAAGATAACACTGGCTGAAATACTGTGGCTTAGCATAGTACCTTGCAACTAGAGTAGGCCCAATAAATCAGTGCAAATTATGGAGGAGCTGACTCCAAACTCCCATTGATTAAATGGTCCTTCTCTAGTGTAACCTACTATGCTAAGCAACAGGATTTCAGCCAATATTTTGAGTATTGTAAAGCTTAATATTTTAAAATATGGGAGTTTGTATTTAGACATGTATGTAGTATGTACAGTAGTACCTCAGTTTATGAATTTAATCCGTTCAATGGACATTATGTAAAGCGAAAATTTCATAAACCGAAACGCGGTTTACCATAGGAATGGGAGCGGCGCTACAAACCTCCAGGTAATGCATCCTGGGGAAACTTTCTTCACAAACTGACCCCCTCAAAAAAATAAATAAATAAAATAAACCGAGGCATTATTTTCAACAGATTTCCATTTGTAAACTGAAAATTACGTAAACCAAGGCGTAGATAAACCAAGGTACTACTACTTTCAGCAAACTGGTTGCAATAACATTTTAAAACAAACATTCTTTTTACCGAACTTACTTTTCCACCCTTCTACAGGGCTTGGCATTCACCTTAGAAGAGAGACAACAACTGAATATTCATGGGTTACTACCTCCTTGTTTCCTCAGTCAAGAAGCCCAGGTTTTAAGAGTTCTAAGAAATTTTGAAAGACAAACATCTGACTTGGACAGGTGAAGTATATTTTGGGATGTAATTATAATAGTTAATAAAAACTGAAAGTGTACATTCTATTTCTTAATTTCTAATTCCATGAATTAATAAGTGCATGCTGTTAAGTCAATTCTAATTTATAGTACCATTTTCTGGGGTTTCCTAGGTATTGAGTACCCAGATATGGTTTACCATTTCCTTTTTCTTGGGTACTGTGGAGCCGTGTAGCTTGCCTAAGACAGCACTGGTTGGCTCTTCTCCTACAAGGCACAATAGGAAATTGAACTCCTGACCACTGGCTCCTCACCCAGCTGCCCATCTTGCTGAGATATGCAGCCATATAAAAATATTGCCCATCACTCATAAAATTTATATGTATGCAGTTATGTGTGATTTCAAATGTGTGATGCAAAAATTATGTGTGATACAAGTGATTTATTTCCATCTTTAGATAATATGTCCATTTAGTTAACAAGGCACTGTCCCAGATACAATTAAACCAATAAATTAGCAAAGCAAGCTCTTTTTTCTTCTTCCTGCTTGTTGCTATATCTACCTTGGTAGCTAGAGTTAGACTAGTTTATTTTATTTATTTTTATTTATTTATTTAATTTATATGCCGCCCACTCTAACCAAAAGTCTCTGGGCGGCTTACAACAATTAAAATTCAGTTAAGATACAATAAAAGATAACATGATTAAAATACAATTAAAAACAATTAAAATTGCCATCAGGACCCACAGTTGATGTTATTTCAATTAAAAGCCTTCTGGAACAGGAAGCTTTTGACCTGGC